CCCACAGAAGCAACCTTCTGATGGTAGCTACATAGCATCTGTTGGAGGTGTCCAGGGGTCAGGTGATCTTCTCAAACAGGGGTCTCCAAACTAGGAAAATCTGTGTCTTGGTGATTCACAAAGACATTAGACAGGACACACAGACATGAATGGGTTAAAGGGATTTTTTTTTTTCATATTCTTCACTTCCATACATACTTTCTTAAAACTAAGCTGCTGTGATTGAGGATTCAGGCCAGTTCTACTTTCCTACCTCCTGTTCTCAGCCTCCTCTCTCCAGTATACAAAAGACAGACATACTCATCCAGCTCCAATCCTACTTCAATGCTTGGCTTGCAGTGTAATAACTGCAAGGGGCCAAAGGAAAGGGAAAGATTTAATAATCTCTTCATCCTCTGTTGTTTGAAAATGTATTATATGAGAAAGAGAGTCATATGGGAGTAAAGCAAAAAAAAGAGCATCCATGAGAAATGGTGAAAACCTTTGTTAACAAAATCCATTTAGGAGGGGAAGGTTCCATGCCTGCTCCATCTGTATTTCTTGAATTTCAGAAGCAAGACATGTATCAACATGATAACGTGAATTGAAAAATGAGAAATTGTTTCTGATAGAAAGGAATTTTATTTGACTGACAAGTTAGCAATGAGGAATGGTGTTACCAATAAGATCACAGATGTTTTTCACAAATGAATTAAGCCCACAGCTCCAAGATGTTAGTGAAACTATAAAGTATGTGATGAGGTAAACAGATTTGATCAAAAAAGTTAGCATAGCAAAAATGTATTGAAATTAACATTTTTACTTTCAGAATTCTTCCTGAGTATGTAAGTTTTTAAAAGTTGCCTCTAAGTGAAAAATTAGCAGATATAATTAATAATCATTTGATAAGTCTTCAAAAAACTTTTTGGTCTAATTCCAGAAACTGAGAACCTGAATGACATTGATAACTGGGTAACAAATCCTTAAAAGACTGCATAGTTTCCAGGTCTTTGCCTTCAGCAAAAACTGAAGCCAGACTAATTAAGTTGTCAGCTAATACTTCATTGAAAATGATTTTCAATGATAAGTCATTGTATGGTTTTTATCATGTAACTCAGAGGTATTCAAAGAAGTGTCTGGCATTCCTATAATGAAATTTCTTTCTTTCCTATTTAATTTATGCATACAGGTTCTCAGAGCTTGTCTGTTCAAATGAAAAAATAGTCAGAGAATTAATGTCAAGCCCAGTTCCATTCTAGTAATAAGTAATTTTCATCCATAGGTATAATAAGTATTTGGAAAAATTCAGATTGTCTTCAAGAGATAGATGTCTTTCCAATAAAATTTTATTTTTTAACTTTAATAATTTATATGTAAAATAATATATATCATTTTCATAAATTGTGAACTAATAATATTGCAATGACAAATAAATTTTATATCCCTGTGGTCACAGAAAATAATTTTTTAAATTAATGTCAGTTTATTGCAGATGAGAATGACCAGTAAAGCATAAAATGTAGCAGGATGTAATTCTATGAGGAAAGTAGAATTAAAAACCTAGGTATGATAGGGCTGGAGGAATGGCTCAAGTAGAGCTCCTGCCCAGTAAGTATGGACGTGAATTCAAACACAAGAACTGTCAAAATATGCACATATATATGTACATATATATATAACAAAAAATAAAATTAAAAAAATACAATTGCAAAATTTCCAATTGGAAAAGAGCTTTTTTGATTCTTTTTTAGTGGGTGATTGTAAATATCACATTGCTCTGAAATCTGGATTCCACTTAATACATTTAAATGCCTGATGCAAGAGTTTAAAATGTTGGGCTGGAGGTGTGGCTCAAGGGATAAAGTGTCTGCCTAGCAAGCTTGAAGTCCTGAGTTCAAATCCCAGTACCAGAAAAAAATCTGACCTATAAGAGTTTAAAATGTCAGTGTTTATGACCAGAAACCATTATCTTTTGCAGCTATTTAAACTTAAGATAATAAATTTCAGATAATCAACTTAAAATGTGATAAGGGATGCATAATTTTTTGAAAATGTTTCTTGTCCACTTGAGAATTAAAAAGAGAGAAACCACCTCCTGGATTTACAAGAAAGGCCTTGGACTCTGAGGATGGGTCTTCAGGAAGACAGCAGAAGCAAGTGGCCAAACAGGCAGTCCCCTGGTAGAAAAAGGGACCATCAGGCTGACTCTAAGCCCACCCCTGTCCCAGAGCTCTCCCAAATCCTGGGTCCTGGGATTGGCCCCACCAGCCTCTGGGTGGAGTGCCATGGAGGGAGGGGAAGAGGAGCCCAGAGAAAGTCCTGCAGACAGGGAAGCTGGCATGGCCCCTGGCAGTGAGTTCCTCCAGGTCCTTTATGCTGTTCCACACCATGAATCACCACTGAGCTGCTGGGCTGCCCAAGCTTGGACTTGGAGCTAGAGAAGCTGCTGCCTCACCGTGACTCAGCAGAACTTCATGGAGGTATTGGAGAGGCTGGGAGCCCAGGGAACATCTGGGAAAGGTTACCCTCCCACCCCACACAACTCTCAGAGGAGCAGCAACAGCTGTGTGTGCCTAACACAACAGATAGAGTGTGTTCTGCGAGCATGTGAACTTCTGGTGTGACTCTTGGAATACAGACCTTGTAATCAGTCATCAGGAAATGACACCCCCACCCTAAAAGTTGGACCTTGCCAGAAAGGGGTTGGAAGCCAGGATTTTTTGTTTGGAGAAAAGCAACCTATTCTGTTTGTAGGGTTTTCACCTTGCTTAATCCTTCTGGGAGTCAGCATACCTAGAGAGGGACAATCTGTGTAACACATAGGGACCCCTAATAAATTCCCCATGACTTTGTGGTAGTCCCTCCTTCTATGAGGCAGGGACTCCAGGTATGGCTCCCTTCCCCCTTTGACTTATTGTCCCTTGCCCTCTGACTGGTCACCAGCCCCTGGGAAGGCAGGCTAAAACCCAGTAAAAGGGATAGTACAGAGGCACTGGAAGATTGAGGACTCAGCCATGGCTGAATTTATATGTTAATTTAATGAACTTGACATTTTAATTTACTGTACTCTCATCCAAAAACATATTGCTTAATTTGTTTAGATATTCTTTTCTTTTGTCTTTTTTTTTTGGGAGTACTGGGGCTTGAATTCAGGGCCTACAGCTTGAGCCACTCCACCAGCCCTTTTTTTGTGAGGTGTTTTTTGAGATAGGGTCTCGTGAACTATTTGCCTGGGCTAGCCTCAAGCCATGATACTCCTGATCTCTGCCACTTGAGCAGTTAAGATTACATGTGTGAGCCACTGGTGCCTGGTTCCTTTCTTTCTTTCTTGTAGTACTGGGACTTGAACTCAGGGCTTCAAGCTTATTACCACTTGAGCCACACAACCCAACCCTTTTATGCTTTAATTATTTTTTAGGTAGTTTCCCATTTTTGCCTGGGGTAATTTTCTTACCTATGCCTCCCTTGTAGCTGGGATCACCGGCTGGCACACGCCACATTGACTGAATTGGGATCTTGCTAATTTTTTGCTGGGCTGGCCTCAAACCATGATTCTCCTAATCTCTACCTCCCAAGTAGCTGTCAATTGCAAGCATAAACCACTGCTTCAGGCCTCTGTTTGGTAATTGCTTAAAGAGATTTTTGTCTTTATTAATCAATCACACTGCAAAAATAAACATGCCCCAATGTTAACAGTTTATTACTTGTTTAGTTATGGCTTGGCCCTAGACAATGGGTTGGATTCAGGTCTGTTCTGTGTGTCTCTGATTCTAGGATAAGGTGAGAGACAGGTGGATGGCAGAAAGGCAAGGGGACCAATGAAAACTGACCACACCTTTGTCACCTGTGCTCCATTTCACTAGCAAAAGCAATATAAATGGAGGGGAAAATACACCTTCCATTGGGAAGGAAGGACTCATTTTGTTAGAAAAGTTTCCATTTCCCCTAGACTAAAATTCGTTGCCATAGAGCTATGTGTAATTTGATTTCATTCTTCCTTTAATCACTCCTTTATCTGTAGTTCTATCTTCTTCCTCATTCCTAATCTTTCAGATTTTGGCTCTCTCTTGTTCCTCAAATTTAAATACCAATGTATTTCATCCATATTAATGGTTTTTATATAAAACTAGCTCTTGGAGTTATTTATCCTTTGTACTTTTTTGATTTATTTGTTTCACATTTTTCTTATATCAGTTTCAGGTTTTATTCTTTTTTTTCTGATTTATTTTGTGTTGCTTTTTAAATTTCTTTTTTTATTTTATTTATTTATTTATTTATTTTGAGGCAGGGTCTACTCTGTAGCCCAGGCTGACTGTGATCTTCCTGTCTCCGATTCCCAAGTGTATATCACCTATAGTGCCTGACTTAAATTTCTTAAGTGAATATTTAGTTCTTTCGTTTTTCATACTTCTTCTTCAATAGTGAACACATTTAAGGTTATTATTATTATTTTGGTTTTTGGTGGGACTGGGGTTTAAATTCAGGCTTCTCACTCATAAAGTAGATACTCTACCACTTGAGCCACACCTCAGCCCATTTTGCTCTGGTTATTTTGGAACAGATATTTTGAATTATTTGCCAAGGCTGGCCTCATCATTATGCTCCCAGTGTCAGCCTTCCCTAGAGCGGGAAGGAAGTTTTCCCATCTAGCGCTGAGCCAACCTAGGAAGACTTAAGAAAAGAACACCTGATCTGCCCGTGCGCTGCTTTGCATTTTAAAGGAAGCATGCAGGATTGAGTTGGTTCTGCTCAGCTCCACCCCTGGGGCTGCCCAGAGTCCAGCCATCCTCCCAGTGGCGACTAGGCAGCCCCGGGACCAGAGCCGAGGAGGGGACCCCGACCAAGGTAAGCAAGCAACTTCCATGGGCTCCAGCCCAGAAGGGTTAACTTGCCTAAAGAGACCCTCAGCCTGCCATTCCACCCGTGTCCCAGGGGCCAGGGGGAGGACGCGGCGGGGACCCCGGCGGCCTGCAGGGGGCGCTGCACCCGCTGATCCCTTGGCTTTCTTCCTGCTCCCCACTGTACTCAGACAGCATGCTGGCTGTGCACTTTGACCAGCACGGCGGCCCAGAAACCCTCTACCTGAAGGAGGTCGCCAAGCCGAGCCCCGGAGAAGGTGAAGTCCTCCTGAAGGTGGCGGCCAGCGCCCTGAACAGGGCGGACTTACTCCAGGTACCCAGGGCCCCGGCGGCCGGTGCTGGGCGGGACTCCGGGGCTCCCAGGACGCCTTCACTGAACTGACCCCCAACCGATGACGGAGACCTGGGTCGCTGCCGGCGACACCCATTAGGACAAGTGTGCTGGGGTTCTCGACCGAAACCAGCTAGCCTCTTTGTTAGACAAAGGGAGCCTTAAGGACCTTGGGACTGAACTTTATCTTACTTCTTACCCCATTGGTCCTCTCTTCTCTCCGCGGTACCCTGCCTGCCCCCACCCCGTACTCAAGACTCCTGCCCCAAACATCTTGATGTACATCAGTGGCAGAGGATCGTGTAGCATGCCTGAGTAAAGCAAAGCAAAATAAACAACAAAACCAAAGCAAGCAGCATTTGCCAAGCAAAATCTTGGTAGGGAAAAGCAAACTACCCTTTTATTGAGTAAACGCTGTTCACCATTTGTATTCTACTAATAAAGAAACTGGTGGGGCTTGGTGGAGCGTGCCTGCAGTCCTAGCATTTGGAGGCTGAGGCAGGAGGATCTTGAGTTTGAAGACAGCCTAAGCTACATAGGGAAGTCCTGTCTCAAAAACGGAAGGAAAGGAAGGAAGGAAACCCAGGATCAGAGAGGTAACAAGGCCGTAACAGTAGTAATCAAAACTGTGATTCAAGTTGTGGTCTTTGTGACCCCAAAGTTTAACTCTCTCCTCTGAGGGTCCCACAGCTGATGGGGACAGTAAGACTTTTCTTCTGTTTGCTAGACTAAGCCAGCCATATTTGTTGGGACCAATCATAAGTGTGCACCAAAATCAGCTGGAGAAACTTTTCAACATAAATGTGTCAGGATTCAGGCAAGTGTACTTCAAACAATACAAAATGCCTTGGTGGTTCTGATGCATAATTCTAGTTAAGTCCCTGTGGTCTAGTTAAGTCTTCTGAGGCCTGGAGAATTACAGAGGCTGGCATTTAATATATGACATTAAGAAATCCACAAAGTCAGGTGGGTGCCAGTTGCCCATGCCTGGAATCCTAGCTACTCAGGAGGCAGAGATTAGGAGGATCGATGTCAGAAGCCAGCCAGGGCAAATAGTTTGTGAGACCCTATCTCGAAAAAAACTCATCACAAAAATAGGGCTGGTGGAAGGCCCTGAGTTCAAACTCCAGTACTGCAATAAATAAATAAATGAGAAGTCCACAGTTCTGTTCCTAGTCCCTCTACTAATTTACTTTGTGATTTTGGGCAAGGCATTTCCCCACCTGGGCCCATACGTCCATTTGTCAAAACCAAGGATTTAATGAGGTAAATGTTTAAGGCCCTAACACTTTGACATCCACTAATTCTATGACCTGCAGACTTTTATTTTGCACAAACCAAATTACCTCTCCTCTCCCTTTTCCTGACTTATAAAACCAGACTTCATCCTGAATTTTCTGTCTGGGATTGGGGCCACGAATGGTGGCACATAGATTTCTGACATATTCACCATTTTGTGTACTCCTCTCTCTGCAGAGACAGGGCCGGTATCCCCCACCCCAAGGAGCCAGCAGCATTTTGGGACTTGAAGCATCAGGACATGTGGCAGAGCTGGGGCCTGGCTGCCAGGGACACTGGAAGATTGGGGACTCATGCATGGCTCTACTGTCAGGTGGAGGACAGGCTCAGTATGTCACCATCCCTGAAGAGCTGCTAATGCCCATCCCTGAGGGACTGACTCTGTTTCAGGCTGCAGCCATCCCAGAGGCCTGGCTCACTGCCTTCCAGCTGTTACATTTTGTGGGTGAGGAAACCCTCTTCATTCCATACATTATGGCTCAGCTTCTCAGTGAATCAACTTCTTTAAGCCCCAGCAGTCTTCCAGGGCACCCAACCCCAGTGTCCTACTCAACACCAGTAATACTCCTCAAAGCATGTTAACAAGGCTTGACGCAGAGGCTGAGAGGCATAGTTAGCAGATGGAAGGCCTGTGAACATCTTAACAATGTAGGCCTAACAGCAGTCCCAACTCCTCAGAATCATGCTGGGCTTCTCGCTAGGGCCCAGTGCAATACAAAGGGCAGGCTGGGGGCATAGGTCAGTTGGTAGAATGCTTGCCTAGCAGACACAAGAGCCTGGGTTAGATTCCCAGCACTAAAAAAATGAAAACAAAATAACAACAGCAAAACAGAAGGGGCCAATCATTTATTTCCCCCAATCCCTCTGAGGCCAGCAAGAGCACCTCTGAGGGAGCCTAAGAAGACTTGGTCCATGCTTTAGAGCCTTTAGAGACCTCAGTATAACTGGGAAGATGACCTATGCCTGAGAATCAGACAACCAGCCAGGTGTGGTGATGTATATCTGTAATACCACCACTCACGAGGCCAAGGCAAAAGGATCGCAAGATTGATGCCAGTCTGGGCTCCGTGGTGAGACTATCTCAATAAACCCAGGGGCTGGGAAATGTAACTCATAGGTAGAGCACTTGCCTATCATATGCAAGTCCCTGGGTTTGCTCCTTGGCACCATAAGGAAACAAACAAACAAAAACCCAAAACATTCAGCACTCAGGAGGCTGTGTAGGAGGATCATGAGTTTAAGACCAACCTGGGCTACATAGCAAGACCTTGCCTCAAAAAATAAAATAAAATAAAACTAAAAATTAGCAGGGCACCAGTGGCTCACATCCTTAATCCTGTTCAGAAGGCAGAGATCAGGAGGATTGAGGTTCAAAGCCAGCCTTGGACAAATAGTTCGCCAGATCTTATCTCAAAAAAAAAAAAAATCACAAAAAGGGCTGGTGGAATGATTCAAGGTGTAGGCCCTGAGTTCAAACCCCAGTACCGCAAAAAAAAAAAAAAAAAAAATCAGACAACCACAGAAACCATAGAATTCAGAAAGATAGCCCCATCTCTAACAGCAATTGATGCCCAAGATGGGAAGAGCTGATGTGGGCAGGGGTGGTCAGAGAATGTGTTTAAGAAGAGAAGGACCTGAAGGGTGGGTAAAATGTGTTGGACAGGACACAAGGTAGTCCAAGAAAGAGTATCAAGGAGAGATCAGCTGCTCCACTCAGAGGTGAAAGATGACTATTCTCATTTGTCAAAGATGAGACTGGGCCAGATTGTCCAGCCTGTCAGGACTCAACACAAAGCCAGTGGAGAACCACTCTCCATTTTGAGAAAGAAATGTCATATTGAAAGCTCCATTTTGGGAGGGTCCTGGTCCCTGCATGTGGTGCCTGCATCAGTGAGACCTGCCAAAGCCAGTTTCAGACTGAAGGACTAGCTTCAGGTGGTAGCAGTGACAACTGGGGTTATTCTGGCTTACAGTGTCTAGGTTAGAAGATATATATTTCTGTGTTATTTAATAGGTAAAACAGATTATGGATGTGTCGCTAATAACGCAGTTTCTAAAGGTCATTTCCCACTTGATCTGAGGCAATAAGATGAAAAAGAACAGTTGCTATGCTCCCTTCAGAAAGCAAGAGATTTGGCATTTGTTCATGGGAACATGTATTCCTGTAGTTAGAAAGTAGAACAGCTCCTGTATTTTCTGTCACAGGACATGTTCAGGCTGGAGACTCTGTGCTAATCCATGCAGGATCAAGTGGTGTGGGCACAGCTGCCATCCAACTAGCTCGGATGGCTGGTGCTATTCCTCTGGTCACAGCTGGCTCCCAGCACAAACTTCAAATGACAATAAAGCTTGGGGCAGCTGCTGGATTCAATTACAAAGAAGAAGATTTTTCTGAAGCCACTCTGAAATTCACCAAAGGTAAGCAACTGCTTCTGCAGCTCAACAGAAATTGAAGAGATGGTTAAATCTCTCACCAGCCTCAAGGTGTCAGGGCTGTGGATCAGTTTTGCCTCTGCTGAATACACTACAGCTGCCTTGGCCAAATTCTTGTTATTTGGTTTTTGACCACTGGGAACGGGCAGCCAACATTTAGGTCTAATATGTTTTCCACGTGCATTCTTGCCAGTGATAGGATTGATAGAGACTTTAGAAACTGGATAATCACACAGAGTTTGCCTGGAATTACCCAACACTACTTGTTCTCAATCAGCCAGTCTGCAGTGAGTTAACAGGAAACTTGGGACAGAGACCATTTTGGGGCAGGTCAAAGGAGCAGCTCTGTAAATGAATAAGCAGATGCGTACACCTCTGAATTCCAACACCAAGTCTGGATATTTTTTATTAATTCCTTCCCACATTTCATATGATAGAAAAGGAAAGATGAAGACAATATTAGCAAGCTGTGATTCTGATAACCCAATGCAGATACTTCAGAACTTAGGTATGAACAGCTAACCTGGGGTGGACTTCCATTGTCCCCATCTCACTTATGTCTAGGTGCCACTGGCACTGTATTTATTTTGAGGGTAAGAGGAAATACCCATTTCCCTCTTGCTGTGTTCAGGATCATAAAAAATGAACTATATCACACATGCTATAATAAAGTTCTACCTAAACTTCATTTACGTTTCTACGACCCGTGCTTCTAGTTCCAGCCAATAGATCTACAACTTCTACCTGTAATTACTTATTTATTTACTTATTTTTATTTTATTTTTTTCTTTTGAAGACAGGTCTTGCTATGTAGCCCAAGCTGACCTCAAACTCCCAATCCTCCTGCCTCGGCCTTCTGAGTGCTGGGATTATTGATATGTACCACCACGCCCAGTTCCCTGTATTTATTTTTACCCATACATCCACGTATATACTATGGAATCTTACCTTGCACCAAGTTTTCTGTGTCTGACTAGCATTGCAAATCTGTTTCCTATGGAAGGTGTTGGAGTCAACCTTATTTTAGACTGCATAGGTGGATCTTACTGGGAGAAGAATGTCAACTGCCTGGCTGTTGATGGTCGATGGATTCTCTATGGTCTGATGGGAGGAGCTGATGTCAGTGGACCCCTGTTTTCAAAACTGCTTTTTAAACGAGGAAGTCTGATTGCTAGCCTACTGAGATCTAGGGACAAAAAGGTGAGTGATGAGTGAAAAGAAAATGTGATATAACTATTAACCAGAAAACTGCTTTGTTTATATGCTTTGTCACATCTTAGGTTAGGGAGCCTATGAAGAAACCTGCCACCTTGTGGATAAATAGGTAACTTGATTTCAGACAACGAATTCAGACTGGTCAACAGAAACCTCAGGCATAACCAATACTTCATATATATGACTTCCTAACATAATAAACAAAGCATTGACCATATTAGGAAGTCTTCTAATAGTTCCAAGACTTTCTTTGCAAAGTAGTACTCTTCTCAGTGTGTTAAGAAAGCCTATTGGCTAAATAAGTAAGTCTCTTATTTATGTTGTGTTTCTAAATCTCTGTGAACATACCGCACCACTCGGGTTACACCTACTGCAGGACAGCAAAGTTTAAGCATTCCTTTTGTACTCACTGACAGTTCTTGGGTCCTGTCCGTGGCTGCCTCCTGCGTGGCACCTTTATTTAAAAATAGCCCTTAGGTTATCCGTGACACTAGTATTTTACTCCAGCCTTCAGCCTTCATCAGGTACAGAACAGAGGTTACACATTGGGGGACGTGCGCCTACACGAGGGCAGTGAGGGATTGTAGACGCATACAGTGTCGGAGAGCATTCGGCTAAGCAGGATGGGAGTGGCAGAGTAAGCCTCTTCGGTCTCATGTTCTTTTCCTCATTTTAGTACAAGCAAACGCTGGTGAAAGCTTTCACGGAGCAAATTCTGCCCCATTTCTCCAAGGAGGACCCCCAATGTCTGCTGCCGGTTGTGGACAGAATCTACCCTATGGCTGAAATCCAAGCGGCCCATGGGTACATGGAGTCTAACAGGAACCTGGGCAAAATCATCCTGGAGCTGCCCCAGTGAAGGAAGAGGGGACAGCACAGGTCTCGGACATCCCAGCCCTCCCAGGTCCCTCCTCGTTAATAGGTCGGTGTAAAGATGGTCTAAGGAAATAAAATATGGACTTGAAAAGTGGCACGTTCACTGTGGGGCGGGGTGAGGTGTGAGTCAGGTCGATCAGCTGACCCTCAATCCGAGGCTCATGCCACTACGCGGTTCCGGTTACACCTCACCGTCGGCCACCACACAAACAACCAATCCCTGAAGACTAGGCTTTGCGCACTGCTGGAGAGCCAAGCCCACCCTCGCATCACCTATACCTAGCCAGAGCCCCACCCCGTCCCGCTACACACCTGGGCCCCATCCACCTCTAGGCCACGCCCCCCTCTTTACTCTGGACCCCGGCAGCAGAGGCACCGCCCCTTCTGGCGCTTGTGTCCCACCCCTTCCGGTCCAGAATCCGGAAGCGTCTTGGCGCCCGCCTTTTCGCCTTCCGGCCTGACAGCGATCTCCGGCTAGTTTGACCCTGGGCGTCGAACGGAGGTGACGTACTACGTCAGCACGTCTCAGCGTGAGATGACGATTTTCCGGCGGTGCTGTCACAGCTTCCGGCGCAGCCTGTGTGTTGATGTCCTGCGTCTTTCGCCGTTTAGCGCTCGAAGGACTAGCGAGCTCCGGAGGTGTCCAGAGGATTTCAGTGTTTGTTGCAGTAACCTCAGAAGCCCGCCAAGATGGATGCAAGGCGGCCAGAGGGC